CTATATATCTATATCTATATCTATATCTATATATATCTATATCTATATCTATATCTATATATATATATATATATATAGATAAAAAAAGAGCATGCTTTAAAGTAAATTTTTTAAACATATACTGTAATTACACTTTAACTGGTACTTTAATAAATATAGTGCTGTATGGGACTACTTCAGCGTTTAGACATAATTTCTCAATGTTCTGACACCTGGGCACCACATTTTCACTGATACAGAGAACCAACCAACATAGCCAACACATTCTTACAGTTGTTAATGCTGCCAGCTGTGCACGCCATGGATCGTGTGAGTTTTGAAGAATAGATCAATCTAAAAAAAGAGGATGATCCACAGAAAAAGAGGAAGGGTTTGCACATTTTAAAACTTCTAACACTGTTACCAGATATTTAACAGATTCACAACTGGACTTGGATGAACTTCAGCATGTTCAGTTCATTGTGGCATATCATCAACATTTGTCTGTCAGACATTGCCCTGAACACTGGATGGATGCCAAAAGGGTGTTGCTTAGCAACTGGGAACTATTTTATTCTTGGTTGAGGGCTAAAATAATTGTAACAAAAAAAACAAGCTGTCTGTCTCGTTTAGTAAACCACTGTCATATGCTGCATTGTGCCACGCTATATGCTTGTATGGTGTACTCAAGCCATTTTAAATGTCTTTTTTTTTTTTTTTTACTGGCCATTTATGCTGTGCACTTTAATTATATGTGTCATTGTTAGTACAGTAGGTGTTTGTAAAATATATAAAAAAAATTCAATCAGTATGGAAAAATATCAGTGTATTCTATTCCAAAAAGGACATTGCAGGAATTCAACTCCAACCATTTTAGGTACATAAGCAAACTGTGCAACTGTGTATCTATATTTGTGCTGTGTGTGCATTATTGAGTCTGCTCTCCCTCCTGTAATGTCTTTATAGTGATACATAGAGAAAAACATTATTAATGTGAAAATGTGATAACTGGACATAGGTTCAGTGCCCAGTTTGGGTGCTTTGGGTATGTAGGATGGGAAGCTGGTGAGGGATCATGTCACTGGAGATGCTGGCTGGTCTGGCTCATGTACAAAAGTAGTGGACTAGAATAGTATAAACCTCTCCACACTTAAGCCCTCCTAATATAAAATGCTGGTACCACTGCTGCCAATGTATAACGTTGGTGTGGAGCTCTGTTAAGATTTAGTAGGATTTAATAATTATTGACTAACACTGATTAGCTTTGTTGATCAGGCCAAATAGAGCCAATTTTCTTTTATCTTGGTGGTTTTGTGAAAACGTGAATAATTCAAAATTGATTTTGCAGATATGCTATTGTTACAACAGTTGACAGAGAATGTTAACTATCAACAGAAAGAGGTTCAATACTTTGGAGAAGAAAAACTTGATCTTTCAAATCTTTCAGCTTATCATCAAATGCCTTAATTTAAGTTGATGACCAATTCTGATATTGGTCATTAACTAACGGTCTCCTATTTTACATTGAAATGGATTTGTTCTGTGTCGTTTCAAATTTAATGGGAGCAGAGGAGCTTAAGGTGTACAGCACAGCTGTTTTTAAAATGGTAAAATTATATTATTAAGACCAAATCAAACTGATGGAAATTAGAACACATTTATTGAAATTATTCAATTATGAGGGAAGCATTCAAGTGTTTTATACTATATATGAAAAGGTAACTGTCATTATAAAGCTAAGCCCATTTGGGTTTGAAATGGGAATGCAGCCCCTGACCCATAGTTACTTTCATATCCCTGTATTACACCGAAGGCATAGCCACACGTTCTATACTACAGAGATCTTTAAATACGGCACTCACTCACTGCTGCTAGGAGTTTATTTCACAGAGGTTGTGACTGTGAATGAAGAAATGCACTTTCATTTGAATTCAGCTAATCATTGGGTCCTAATTAGAGGGTTGGGAAACTTCCTTCTTTGTACCACTTTGAGATATGGAAAATGAAAAAGGTGGATATTTCAGAAAAATCGTGGCACAAATTGAAGTACGACTGAAAATGCTGTCTTTGAAGGATTAATGAAGATACTTAGAATTGTTCCTGCCTTTTGATAGCAACCTACCACACACCTTCTGTCCAGCAATCACCACACAGTCACCCAGTCGGATTCCCATGGTGGCGAGCTGTATCTTGGCCTTATCAGAGATAGCAGGGGGTGACTGGGCTTGCAGTGTGAGGGGCAGAGGGGAACTGGGTCTGGGTAAAGCACGCCTCAGCAAAGTCCGCAACTCTTTGGCCACAGCGGCTGCATCTGCCATATCCAAGGGCATGTCAAGAGGGTCAGGCACCACGTCTGCTGGGCACTGCCCTTTTTCATTCTGCAGGAAGAGAGAAGGAGAAAGCACAGAACAGCAGTAATACAATTATGAATAGGAAGAGAATTCCATCCAACATTTTTTTCAATTTGCCAGCATGCCAAGTAAATGTAATATAAAGGATCAATATTGATAAATATCAAGTGCGGTATTAACCTGACTGATGACAGACTGCAAAACTTTTTTTTCTTCCATTATCAAAGCAGCTGACCTACTGGCAGTCACATGGAAGTTTATTCAAGTGGCTCAAAGACACTAGAGTCAGCGAGAGTTGAGACAGAGTGTCAAGTGTGAGTGGAGGTGAGATCGGTGGAGACGGCTGTGGACGCATGACAGAAGCAGTGAGCTCATTCATTCATCACCATGTGTCATTCAGGTACTAAAGTAATGTACACACCACTTAATCTGCAACAGTGGCTTGAATCAATGTGTTTGTGCTGCTGGCCAATTCTGCCTTTGTGTGCAGTATTTTGACACAGCATTTCTTGCTTCAAGGAAAGAAATGTTCAGTTCGATGTTCATTGTTTTTTAACAGATACAATATTTCTCTGCTAACAATTTGACAACCAGCACGCTTATAGCCTATAGGGAAGGTCATTCAACATGCACAGCGTTTACACAAATGACATATATCAGCATCAATCGAAAAACGAGACATCTGCAATGGGCCAATACATATATCAGTCAGACTCTTTTCTAAGAGTATCGTATGTTCTACATCATCCTAATAAAATCCTAATCTATATTTTTGTACTTTGAAATTATGCTTATAGTAAATATTCAACCTACTCATCTCCATTTGTGCTTCAGATGGATAGGATATTCAACAGAACAATACAACCAAACAAACAAAATAAAAACAGAACACAACAATCACTTCTAGACACTTTCAGTGCATTTAAGTGCCCTGAGCGTACACAATGCCAAGCTCACACTGAACCATTCTTTTAAAACTGTCACACACCCAGCCACAGACATAATGCAATGGTTTTGCCAACCATATAGCAGCCAAACACTATCTACAAGAGTAGTTAAAATGATAATTGTTTATATATTTTTTTAAACTATCCTAATAAAATACTAAATTTTAAAACGTCCAAACCAATCCTTCAACAACACGAACAGTTGTATAATGTAACACAATGCAACACAGCAGCCCTGCAATGAATCCTATCTTTGTGGAAAAAGTTTTTCCAACTACAATTTACATACATAACAAAGAATATTTCATTCAGATCAACATCTGTTAATAGTGCAATTCAAAACCACACCAGTTGTTGTATATGAGTAAGTGCATAAATAAACTGGTAAAGTGTATTCTGAACACAATCATGCACTGTATTCACATTCAAACTGAAAGTGCATTTTTTCCTCTGTGTGATGTATAAATGTATATGAAGGAGTAAACTTTAACCTATCCTGGTTCAATTCAAAACGGCTATGAAAGAAAACTGATGACTGATGTTGAACTTTGTAAGTTAAACAAACAGATAAAACAAACACATCTTATACATTTTCAATAATGCTTGCAACATTAGCATTCAGCTCATGGAAGCTGTACCTGCCAGCAAAACATAATGATGGGATGACTTCACTCTACCCACCAAAAAATGCAGCACATACCAAAACGGTGAAAAAATAAAATAAAATATGGAACAATCATGTAAGTGATCCACTACAGCAAACTTGCTACTAAAGGAAAGTATGACAAGTTGCCATAGCTATTAAGCCATAAGATATGTGGTAAGGGAAACATGAAAGGCCAGCAACATTTTTTATTTTTCCATCCTAATAAAACTTTCCACTGTTCATGTCCAAGGTTTGTTGTGACGAGTCTCTGCAGGGCCAGAGAGTGGAAATATCAAATTAAGCAACTTCCAAGTCTGACCTTTAGCCAAAAGGAAAAGAGATTTTAAGCTGAATTTCTTGGCTATGGTATTATGGCTTATAGTCCACTGCCAGCCACCACAGATATTCTTCAAATGCAAGCGACACAATCTGGTAGGTAAAGCATCATAGTAGATTACAAATCAATGCACATACCTATACCAATTGTATATTGTGCTGTCAAGAAGGCTGATAGTGATGCCAAATACACAATTTTTCTACTGAACTACATTTTTTATTCAAGCCCACAAAGACTGTGGTTTTATGTTCCAGGGAACATAAAGTTTGTTTCTTTTCTGTGCGTCTGTACATCTTGCCATGTACTCTCTTGAGTAATAATCAAATTAGTATACTCAGTGTAATGACTTTGATACACCCATGAGTGCTTTATACCTTAACTAAACAGCAAACATATTGGTCCTTTGAAAACTATGAAGAGGATTACTAGGGGAAAATGGGAATAACAATATCAAAACTTGTAGAAACAGATGCAACATATCTCTAAGACTAATTGGAAGCAGCAAAGACTCAATAAACCATAAATAATAAAAGCGCACAGACAGTAATCTTGCCTCAATGATGTTAAGGATAAGGAACAAATATCCATGTCTCTAACCCAGAAAATCTCTAAATAAAGGCTTAAAAACAAACTGGTTTACACCAACCATGCTCTGCAAGCTTTTCTGTCAGACAAGAATATACAGAGCCTCTGCACTTGGCTATGAGCTAGGGAATTACTGGATTATAGTGCTTTGGTGACCTCCAGTGGGAAAATTAGTGCATACAACAGCTTTAATGAATCTGAAATAACCTTAGTTGGTGAAGGATAATAATAGCATGAGACATGCAATTTCTAGTATGGGTGAAATCTTTATAATAGCTTTATAATAGCTTTATAATGTTTACTTTAATAGACCATCATAGGCTACGACAGTCGATGTCACCATCTACTGGGAATCCACTATACATCCTTCAATTCAAGATAACAATTGATGGGCTGTTCAGCAAACCCCCTCAACCAAGGCTTTAAACAACTTTAAGCAACTGAGAGGCACAAGGCAGACAGACTGATCACTGATGGATGTTCAAACGGTAGATCTATTCAAAACCGATGTACGGAATATGCCTGGAAAATTTGCATTGCAAACAATTGCATCCTTTTTAGAGGTTATCTTGAAGCCAAGTCAGAAAATGCCAAACGAAAACACTGAATAAATGGAATACATGTGAGGTCTGAGAGAGTGACTAAAAGACTGCAATCTGTTAGATTTCGTAACGAAGCATCAGGACCTTTTTTGTTTGTTAAGCAGTAAGTAAGGTCCTAGTACATGGGGCACAAGCTCCACCAGAACGCCCCCGCATCAGGATTTTTTTTGCAAACATCTCCATCAAATCTATGTATATCTGTAATGCAGTAAATCAAGGAGCTAGGTTACATCACATAAGAAAGGCATTGTAAATTTGATGATGGGAAAATTGTGGGAGTGAACTGTAATGCTGATTGATGACATCTGTGAGGAAATACAGGGGGCAGAAGCAGGATCATGAACACCCACAGTCTAAAGAAATCCAATTGTTGTGAAACAACTTTTTTGAGGTTTCTAATCTTCAGTTTTTGTCGAGACTGTCTGAGAAGTAAAGGTTCAATAATAAGGTTGGTTTATTGTTAGGACTGCAACTTGTGGTGGTGCTGTAGTGGACTGCATTATATGAGGCCAATAGTAGTGCTGAAATGATCAAGTCGGCTAATTGACTTTTTGAAAACTGATCAAATTGCTGGTTTTGGCATCTTGTGAGTGTTTGCTGCCATATATCATTATGAATTGAATAATTTGGGTGTTTTGGGTGGCTGGGCATTTTTATTGACAGTTTACTGTATAGCCAAAATAGCGATTCAAGAAAATTCTCTTTAACTTAAAAATTGACAGGATAACCAGTAACACAAATAATCATTACCACCGAGATTGTAGTGCTGCATACTGTTACCATAGATATATGCAGGGGGACAGACAAGTATTATCAGTTCAGTACACACTGGAAAACGAAGGTAAAAAAAAAAAAAAAAAGTTTGTAGAATGTTTTTAATATGTCAACGTGCTTACTGACTATCTTAGTTACAGACTGTTCTCTACATTAAAGTATACATTAAAGTGCCATCATTTTTGAGGACAGTTTGGATGAAATAATTCAATTTGTGTACAGTTGTTTTAAGTGTATGTAAGAGAACAATGTCACTTACTCTGAAAGCAGGGTTGGCTCCCAGCTCCAAGAGACATTTGACAGCTGACATGCACAGGTTGGACGCAGCAATGTGCAGGGCGGTGCCAAAGTCAAAGTCACTACAGGTGGCATCTACCTCTACAAAAAAAAGTCAATCAAGAGAGATTGTTATTATACATTTTATAAATACTATAGGAGTGTTGTCCCTTTTATGACACTTTGACATCTTACATGATTTTCTAATAATTACCTCAAATTAAGAAAGATTAACCATTTTTGACCAGCATTTACACTCAGTCACCAGAAAAACTGAAATCCTGCCCTTGTAAAGGTTGTGCAAGTATTGGTATCTTAACACCAACTCCATCACACTTTGTGCTTGAACAGATTACTGAGAACAGACTTAAAGCAAGATCTGCCAGTCTTGACAAATGTCTTGATATGATCATGGGTGCTAGGAGGTATAAACACCATCATGACAGCAAAGTTGTTGGGCTTTTTGAATAGCCCCGAAAAAACACAGGACACCTTGGTAAATAAATGTAAAAGTTGGGACAAAAAAAACAAAAATTAGAACATGGTGTGCTAATGTAAAAACATCAGTTATCCAGAATGCTTAGCAACATGGCATCTGGGAACAGGCCCCAGGTCCATTGTTGTGTCACTGCTACAGAACGTGGCAGCTGTTATCAGGGCGGTGGTCAAAGGTGGTCTACAACTGTCTGTCGCTCAGGGTATTTATATATGCATGCTGTTACCCTCTCTCATTAGTTTACTACAATACAATGTACAACTTAATCAGCTCCTGTTGTTCAGTAGCCAAACCAATTTTCTATATTTATGGCACAGATTTCAGTTTTCACAGTCATTACCCATAACTAATAACCGCTGGCATATAACACCAGGAAATTATTTGATCTCACAAATAACACGTGATATTGTTATGAAAGGCAGGATTCTGATATACATAGCAAAATTGTGGTAAAAGAAATGTGTTTCTATAATCATGAATAATGATAATATTTACACACATGCTGTAACGGTGACTGTCATTTATAAATGTGTATACTACATGACTTGGTCAGTAAATTTTATAGAAGCTTATTTTAAAGCTTTCTCTCTCTATTCACTACATGTCAGCACAGACACAGCACAGCTCAACCAGCTGTCTGGATCAGAGGAGGAAAACATCACATTCTATATTACAGGCACAGTAAGACTCACCAGGTCTAGATGTTCATTTTTATGCAAACTATGTAAATAAAAAAACTGGACTACACACCAACCTAATGGATCACAGTAGGGCTGCAGCATTAATTGAAATATAAACAATATTACAATATGACCAAGTGCAATATCTGAATAGCAGAAGCTGTAATTTGCAAGGTCAAATGTGTGACAAAACAGTATTTGAATGAAGTACTGCAGTGTTGCAGAGATGCACTAGCCTACAAATCTTGTTCTCCAGATGTAAGAAAACATTTGGTACGGAGCCCAACAAATGTCACATCATGACAGTTTTTTCAGTGAAAATTCATACCATATTGTACAGCCCTATGGCACTATGCTAAATTTAATATATAAGAAAAACATATCTGAGCAGCCTGCCAAAATATGATCAATGCATGCTCCCGATGCATAGCATCGGTGTGTGAATGTGTATGAATGAGTTAGTTTCTGTTCGATGGACTTTTAAAGAATAGGTCTTTGAAAGGTGAATGTGCACTAGTAAAACGCTTTAGTGGTCGGAAGCACTAGAAACCCAATAAAGTACAGACATTTACCATTACCAGTGTACAATGCTTTTCCTGTACTGTTTATTCCATCTTGGCTTCAGCACCATCAACAAGACTCTATCTGCTGAGCACTGACTTTTATAAACTGGACTCCATACTCATGTGTGAAATAGGTGACAATTAAAGTAAAGTAAATTCCTGCTGCCACTGTCCAAGTCTGTCCACACTGCAACATCATGATCTGTATACCAGGATGTACACATATATGCAGAGCAATCCAATGACATAAAAGGGGGTGGACAACATTTTGAAAAACCACATACTGCAAAAGCACCATAAACTACAGCCTATAGAGTAGAACAAACAACCTCTCTCACACCTACAACAAAAACAGAATACATTAAGCTGCATAAAGTTAGGCTGCATTGCAGGGATGTTGTATTGGATTGGGTTGAATGTAGCAACTGTGGGTGCACCTACAAAACTGGCAACTCGGGATGTTTATCACAGGAAAAAGATAAATTACTGAGGCCTTTAATCCCCACTGCAGTTGGATTTGAAAATGGAAATGTTTGCCCTGTACAGATTGTGGGGGTGACCTCCCCCACTCTCTCCTCTGACTGCAGCTGTGCTCTCACCTCCAGGCTGGGAAGCCTGCAACACTACCCGGATAAGCTGCGGCACGTCGAAGTAGGCTGCATAGTGCAGGGCCCTCATGTTAGTCCATCGTGAACGAAGGTTGGGATCAGCACCCAGGGAAAGGAGTTGGCGAGCAAAGCTGGCTGCTGTCTCGGCATCACCTGAGGAACAGAGGAGAGATACAGGTAGGTAGGACAGTGTGTCATTTCTAGAAACTGTGTTTAAGGAGAGGTGCTGATGAACAGCAGTGCTTATCGAGTCATACAGGATTATTTTCAGTGGACACAGTAGCAAGATAAACTAAAACACAAACAAGACAGAGTAGATGTGTATACACTTTTACAGTCCAGCTGAGAGTGTTTATTCAACACCCCGGTCAATACTAACCGATGCCCGGGGCCCCAGCCTTGCAGCAGTAGTGCAAGAGGCTCATATCTGTCAGACCGTCTCGATCATTCACGCCACAGCCTCTCTTTAGGATCTGTGCAAAGACAAGATGTGCAGTGTGTCACTAAGGACCGCTGGTGTCACTGTGCAGAAATATTACATAATGGGCTACAGAGTGAAACTCGGGGGCACTGATCTGATGAATGACATGAAAGCTGTGCTTGTCATAACTCTACTCATCTTTAAATTTGGACAAGAATTGTTGTGCAAACTGACATCAAATCCAGGGATTTATTTCTCAAGGGCAGCAGTTATTAAGTAAGAGACAATAATCGCCTGCTTTTACCCTTGGAGACAAGAGCTACTCTGTGCAATTAACTGCATTGCAGCTACTTTGTGTAACTCTAGGAGGAGGTGATGGGGATGGGTTGGCAGGGCCTCCACAAACAACACGTTTTATTTTATTCTAAAGTAGTCTTGTGTTTTCAGTCATCATATTTTGTATTTACCATTTTTTGCATCGATTTGTGAATAATTCAATGACTTGTTTGTGAATTGTGAGTTTTATGAGCAAAGACAGAACGGTGTGCACTAAGGCAATGTAATAAATCAGTATCAACAGTGAAATATTCTGGATAATGTCACCTCATTGCCTATATGGTTGATGTTCTTCTGAACCTGGGGCACCCACTGCCTAAGGACAGCGAACAGCTCTGGTATGGTGGTGTTGGGATCCAGAAGAACCTCCCTGCACTGCGGCTCACTGGGGTCAAAGAAGGAGAACTCTGGAAGTGGTGGGAAAAACAAAAGATACATTTTAACTGTAATGTGGATTAGTGGAACATATTCCTTTTTAAGCTGAATATGGATGTGGAGAGAGTCTGTGTGAAACTCTGCAGCACAGACGTGTATTAACTTTCTGCAACAGACTGTTCAATCGATTCAATCAAATTACTAATCTTGGGAAATGCCCTTGCTGTGCTTGCAGAGGCAAATGAAATCAGTTGTGACAGTGGATGGCATGCCGTGAACCAAATGAAGCGTTAGAGAACCCGACTGAGGCTGAAAACAAATAAGCTCGCCCTTTCACAGTAAATGCCAACACTTACAATTTAGCTAGCATCAAACCTTCTGCATTTGCTTTATAATCTGATATTTCAGATCATTAAAAATGTGGAAGTAGTCTACCACTCTAACACTGGAACCATGGGTCAGCATAGTTACTGAGTGCAAGTTCAGGACTTCGAACTCTTGTATTATCATCATCACAACTTCAGACATGATTTTTACTTTTTATATCTTGATTAATCGCACCTAGTTGTGCACTGAGCAAATGATCAACAGTCATAACTCACTGGTACGTTTTTAACAAGCCAGCTGTCTGTATACGGCGTTCATTAGTATAGGGTGTTCATTAGCTCGAAATGTCACACAGCTCCACTATAAGTATGTATTGAATGTGTGCGGTTCCTCACCACAGTCACTGGGCATGGGTGCAGAGGCCACCTGGTGGATAACCGGCCGCTGATGGGAAGAGGCCCAGCCCGGCACAGTGTCTCCCTCGACAGGCTCTGAAACATCCTCCTTTGTCATCTCCCCCTCAGGGCCTGTGGCAAGAACAATATTAGAAGTCCTATTCTCAGAACACAAGTAGGTCTAATCTCAACAAAGCAGTGACAACTCCACTACTTTGATGAAGAGACAGGACGACATTGAAGCTTTCAGGTGATCTGGCAGCATCCCACTAAAACAGTGAGGGGGGCTAATACTGTATGTTACTAAGAAAACTGTGTCGGATTCAATTTCAAGGTAGAATATACTGTTTAGAGAAAAATATATTGGCAGTAAATCAGTAGTATCGAGAGCCTTAATGGTGTTGATAGTGAAATTACTCTCATCCAAATGCAACACTACATTTGCAACTAATACACACAGTCCTGCCAATATTATCATCGTGTATATAGTATGTCAGTGTGTGCTCTCAAGCAAGGGAGAGTGACACACATACTGAAGTGATGTGATCATGTGCTTTATGGCAAATGCATAAGGATTACAGGAACAGACATATCTAGACTGCCAACAAGATAATCTGATCTGATCTGATCTGATCTGATCTGATCTGGCCTATGGATTAGAGACTGCGGTACTCTGAATCTGACACAACTGCCAAAAAAAGAAAAATCTTGAGTAATGCTTTTAGTTTTCTTAAAGACTTTAAAACACAAATAGGTCTATGGTGAATATGTTTGACTACTAAGCTAATAGTGAAACACTGACATAATAAAAGTAACGACAGGAGGCTGGGGAAAAGGACAGAAATGTTAGGAGGTTGAACTACAAGCACACACACGCAGGCCTAAGCCTGGAAAGGCCACACTGAGCCTAAAAGCTTCCAAAGCAACCAACACTCACTGTCATCTTCTCCTTTATCCTCTGTCTTGTTGATCTCCATGAGAGCTTCCCAGTTCAGCTAAGCTAAAATCAAGAGACACAGACTGGGTCCAGCAAAACATCTAACCAAGCTTCTCCCAAAAATAACTACCAAGCACACAGACAGTCCCCTCCTCAATCTCCAATAACCCCCCCTCTCTCTGCGTACACCCTGTTGATCCCCTCACTCCCAGGTTCACTGGCTATTTACAGCCACTGGCATGGTGCTCTCACGTTTGGCTTTTCCCCGGCTGGAAGGTCACTCTCACTCTCCAGTGTTGTGCCCTGCCGACCCCGCTGTCACCTCATCGGACTAGTCAGCCGCAACACCCACAATGCACAGAGTGTGGCTGCAGGGTGACAGTGCAAACAAACACAGCCTAAAAGGGCAGCAAAGGGGTGGCTGTGATCAGGACGGTGAAGGACAGAGACCCATTCCCCTTGACAGCAAGCATCCACTGTGATAAGCACACAGAGGCAAAAGACTGAATCCCTGCCAGAGGAGAGGTAGCTGAGCCTCACCCGTGACCTCTGGGCAAAAAGACACTTTCTTATTCCAGTATAATGGAGGTTTCAATATGACAAAAACTATTTCAACAGGAGGATGCAAACCTCAACAGAACTAGGCAACAAATTAGTGGAAATTGCAAGAACAGCAATGGGGGTGTCAAACCTGTCAGGGTTATTATCACATGGTCTGATAAATCATTGCTTTCAGCCGAATATGAATGATCACACATACAAAGTTTATGTGCAGTGTAAAAACCCAAAGTGGAGATGATTAGTGGTATGCGGCATAGATAATAACAGTAGAACTTTTCATGAATACCAATTACACTGACAATCCAGGGCCACTTCAGGTTTTTGTGGTTTTACGTGTCCTGCACACGACAGCGTAAAGTTTGTACGACGACCATTCGATAAAGTCTGAAGACACTGATCAGGAGCTAAACCCTGACGTCATAGCCCAGCGTTAAACTGAGAACCTCTAGTGGAAAGAATCCCCATCAGCAGCAGCACATGCACCGGATGTCAGAAGAGGTGTAGAGACAGTGCTCTGTCAACGGCATGTCCCTGGTGACAATGTGGTCTCCATTTCTCTATTGGAAAACTGGAAAACACCTTGGAAATGCTCACAGAGATGAGAAATCCCACATGCCTCACTGAGGTCACTGACTGGCTGACTAGAGATTAGGACTTTGCAGTGTGACTTGGGACAATGGCCTACTTTTTCAATAAGCCTCTCCTTGTTTGTCTGACGCATGACGTCACCCTGCACCCATCCTCGCAGCTAATGAAGAGACAACACTGTGACATATTTCAAACCGGTCACTCAGAACATTTTGGGCACCCATTGCTTTATGAGTACTTACCCAAGACGTGCAAACTACCTGTCAGAGTCTGTGTAACTTCTAAATGCCACGTTAAGCACAACATCATTACAGCAATAAAGTCTGCTGTAGGGTTTTTGTCAGTGCACACAAACGTTACCTGAGGCTCATTTGTATGCCATTTATTAAACTACAATAAAGTCACAACCCCGGGAAGAAGAGCCCAGCAACACAGGTGCTGTCACTGAGCCTAATTAGACAGCAACAACACTTTTATCTGCACGTGTACTTGTTGACATCCTGTTATCCACCTTAATAACTGAAAACACCTGCGTGCATCCCACTCATATACAGTTTCTTTACAAGTTATTCACAAGCAACAACACAGACATGCAACTGCTGCACAGCGTATAACCACTACACAGACATTGGGCAGCGTATTAAATCTGCACTCTTTTAATGTGACTTTCTCCTGTAGCTGTAAACTTCAACCTCCATCATTGTATCCGAACGGGTCAACCTAACGTCGAGCAGTGACCCCCCCCCCCCCCCCCGTGTCTCCGGTGTGCAGCTGAAGCTCTGTTAGCTGAACCGATGTCCTACCGTGAATGTAATCGTTATTTAACGGAACATTAGATAGCTGACAGTAAACTGTTAGCTGGCTAGCATATGTGCAAGAGCCGGCTGGTGCTTAGAGACAGCTACACTACGTTGTTTTTACGTTCGTCCATGCCTGGTAAATATAAGAAGTTAGCAGCCACAGAGTTTTTGTTCCTGCATTGTGGGAAAAGTTGTCAAGAGAGACGAAGTGTGTTCTCTCTAGCGTTCCCTCACGTTAGCTCCTCACTGGTAATGATATTTAGCCCAAATACTGGGCCAAGCATCACTCCCCCGGCTCAAACTGCACTTTACGACTGCAGGCAGACAATAATGTCCTGATGAACTAACGTGCATAAGAAAGTATCTGCGTTACCTTGACCTTGCTGCTCGCTTCAATTCGCTCATGGGGATAATGACTAGAAAGCCAATAGTGGGTTTAATTTCCGTCCATCCTCACTGTTCGCTAGCTACATAGCTACGGTACATCCTGTTTCACAATAAAGGCGTTTAGTCTACCTTTCCGGTCTTCAAAATAAAGGTAATACTACATAACTACAATACACAGCCTTTATAAACAGTCAGATCATAAAAAGTAAGGAGACAGCTTGAACAGCGTGATATAGTTTTGTGGAAAATAATATTTTCAGATTAAGCTGTTATTTCCAAATATTTTTTCTCTCTTTACAGGTAGGATCTTATTTTAATTTGAGAATTTACAATTACTTCTCTCAGACAGATGCTCAGTTCCTCTGGGTTTTTCTTGTTTACTGCGTTTCTCTTAATATCTTATTCTCTTATAACACATAGGCTCAGTGTAGTCCAACATGACAATTTAGGACCGGTCTAAGGCCAATACTAGTCCCTGGACACTCACTTTGATTTTACGTTGACCTCTTCTAGGCTCATATGGCTCATATATGTACCCAAACAACCAGGCATACATAGCAAGGTGGAACAGAGGTGTCCTGCAGCCTGCATGGGGAATAATTCAGTCCAATATCCTTTAGGGTACTGCCACAGTCCAGGGGCCTGAGTACACACACAGGGACATATCTTCCTATTCAGCAGATGGTAATTTCCCAGGTGCAGCAGTGTGGGATGCTGGATGCTACCCTTGAATGTCCATTCAGAAAGGCCACATTCAGTTGGGTTTCACAGACGGATGCCACTTTCTATTGAAGCAGAAGAGCCCTCAGCACCTGTAGCTGCCTCTGTCTAAGACCTTGCCCTTTGCTGGTTCACCACCCCTGTCACTTTTTTCGTATACTCTGCAGGAGAGTGCCATCAACATGACTCATGTTACATGAGTGATGGAGGGAGATCAAAAGGTTGTTCAGTGTTTTTTTGTTTTTTTTGTGATTGTAGTTGGTGAATTACTAAGAAAACTAAGAACCTATGGACAGTAAGCACAATATTCAATCAACAATTAGGCAAATAATGCAGGTCACAATCAATGCATGCACCAATGGCCTCAAATGTGACCTTATATTAACATTATGGCCTGTATACAGGACATTTAGTTGTTATTTGTGATGATATTCCCGGAACATCGTTTCCATGGAAACGTAAACAAAACGGCTCAAGTTGTGGCAGTGATTTCTCTACACACACTCCGCTCACTGCGCACAACCCTCAGTTTGGTTGTTTGCTTGTTTTATTGGCTGTTTTAGTGGCTGTAATGAGCCCATGCTTCTGAAGCTGAGTAGCTGCATTTGCTTTTAATCTAACAACAGAATGGACTTGAACAGCGTTCGGCGCGTATCCTCTGCAGGTTACCGGTTACCGGCCCGAAACAACGGGCCCAGGCCGGTATCAAGCCAGCCTGCAGCGAACAGGACGCGGCAGGCTAAAGGAGACGCGGCGTCCGCGGATCTGAATCCGGACAAGAGTGATCCGGTTAAACAGGACCAAGTGTGGAAAGAGGCGGTATGGAGTGAGAGGAGAGGAGTGCGGGAATGGTGAGAATGACTTCAGTAATCGAACAGTGAGCCAAGGCACCACTGAACTGGCCAAAACAGCCTGGGCAATGACTGTATTTCAGTTTGATTATTAACTAATATAGCCTGCTGAAGCCATGGCACTTCTTATTAGTTATATAGGTCATTGAAGCTATATAGACTTAACCAATAGCCTGCATTATGGTCCACAGGGAGAAGAAATGGGACTTTCTCAGGAACTATGATCAGATGGTAAGACTGAATACATTTCACCAATGTGTGTAAAATGAAGAACTCCTATCTACACACCTTTTCTGATGCTGAACATCTGAATATATTTAAATGATATGATATTAAAAATCTGCCCCAGTATTTTATGAAGTTTTACACAAATAATTCCAACTGACAAATGATGTGAACTTCTGTCATATCAGCAATAAGCCCGATGCTGCAGCTTTCATCTAAAATACTGCCACTTCCTGTAAATTCTAGCATCTAGTGTAAATGCCCATTAGAATATTGTTATTGATGATAGTATTATAAAACGCATCCTATGTGGTAAATGATTATATGATAAGCTTCATTTGTCCCTGATGAATTTAATGTCAGCTTCATCTTCAAGCCATTATACAGCTGAACGTTTCCAGCTAACATCAGCCCCCTGTGTGTTTGTAGGGGCAGCCGAAGTCAGAGGAGCCTCTACCCACCTACGTGTCACTCTTCTCTGATCACGTCCCCAACACCACCAATCAGATGCTTGGCAGCAGACTGTCCACTCCGCTGGGGAGTGAACTGGTCAGACTGGACAGACTGGTACTCTGGCCTGGAAACCATCACAAGCGCAAGCAGGATCCAGAGATGCAGCCCTGCTAGACCTCTGCACATCTGGTCCGTTTGGGGCTGTACCGTCCTTATGTGGAGCTTAGATGGCACAGTGTGGCACTCGCCGCAGCTCAGCCTGTTTGGATTTGATGTGGGGGAGTTTTTTTCCTTTTCGTGGAGAGTGAATATTTGACGTAAAATACAGACAATACTAGTCATATCAGATCATCTGATCATATTTTACTTAAAGTCTAGAAATTGTGTTTATTCATATATTTGGGTATGCCACATGCAAGGAGTACAAAACTACTCAAACTAAAGGCATTTGCCTCGAGAAGAGAGGTGAGAAGACACCGGCAGATCAGATTCATGTCATCCGAGCTCAGGTATTTAATCAGATACTTGATAATCAAACAAGATACCTGATCAAATTTGGATGAGTGAAAGGTTGTATCGCCACTACATTTCTCTGTTAACTCAAATATTGCTGCTGAAGAAACAAACAGCTCTACCATAAGGATCATATGAGAATCTTACTCACTGATGCTATCACAATAGATCTTATTTCGGTGTTAAATTGGTTTTATTTTGTATTTTTCCATTGAAAAACAGCTTGAATAGCTACATATTGTTATATGTTTACCAGGACCTCTAAGCCATTGTTCCATGGTGGAGCCATGGGATGACATTCATTTCATTAGTGTGATTATCATGATGATGTAGCTTATACCAATGTGCACTTTATGTGAACGGCAGCATATCTCAGGATTCAGCACCACTGTAGCTGCCTTAAAATGCCACTGTATATTGTTATGTTGTTATGAATCACTGCCCCTTTGTCTCAATTGGAATACAAACGGTAGTCCCCGATGACTTTGACAAACTGATCTTCAAATGGTTTAATGATCTGGATGTTGCTGAATTGTAACCAAAGTCAAGTTTCTTGTTGGAATAAATATTTTGCATTTTAAAGTCTGGGTGTACTGAACTGATTTAGTTATGTTAATAGTACTATACCAGATGTGTAATAAGCATAGGAGAGCCTACAATATGGTGCACTTTTAAAGGCTACATTTGAAATAAAGTGGACGTAGTATATGAGTAATAGTACTCAAATGTTTTCCATCACTGAGGACTGGTGTAGTTCCAAGAATGCAGACTCATTTAAACGAGAGACAGGAAGAGAGAGAGACAGCACAGCTTCTGAAGTCTAACTTGTGTGCACAACTAGCCAATCAGCTTTCAGTGGATGTATGCGGAAGTGAGAAAAGATGCCGGCTGACAGGAAACTGCCAAGTTCACAGAATAACAGAGGAAACCAAAACAGTTCGCCTTCAAAATAAAAGTGTATCCAGCTGTCTAGCTATCTTTCAGAATAGTTTAAGAAAAGTTTAGCCTTACAATAAATCCACAGTACTATAGTTTTCCCTTTGGATCTTCACAACACAAACATGTTCTAGCACCACTGCAACACGCGCGCGTTTACTTTCTTTTATTTCGTAAGTACAGAACGGAAGTCTTTCCTAAATCCATCTAACTTGTCACTGGTGACATCGCAGCAGCAGCATCTGGCTGCTACTTTGAGCCAAATCGGACAATCTAAAGTTCACAGTTTGTTAAACCTATCTCCGGAAAATGCAGTCCGACTCGCTGCTCCATGTGGCTAACTTCAGCACGCTGTTCGTGTGCATGGTGCTCAAGTTCCCGCAGATCTTCGTCCTGATGCGAGCGAAGTCAACGAGCGGAGTCAGCCTCAACAGTCTGCTCCTGGAGCTCGTCGGGTGTGTGCTTTTTAGTAGAACTCCTGGGGTAAATGTCGGCGGTTATTTGTACCGTAAAGTGTGCAACGTAGAGGGGGAAGGAAGTCCACTGTGACTGATGTGTTAAAGTATGCAGTGCATTACTTACTATTAGTCAATGCTGTTGCAATGTTGATGTTATGTCTTCCTGACCGGGTACGTTCCCTGCAGAGAGAACCCCGCCTCCAAACTCCATTTAAAATATCTGTAATTTATGGGGGTTTGTGTTCTGGGTAAGGTAGCGCATATCCGTACACGGTATATAACACCGCCACTGAATCCTTAATACCCAGTGGTCATTTCGGCATGAATCTGAACCACCACCTACCTTGTATTTGAGTAAAACTTATAGAATCACTGCGGGAGCCTCACTACCCCACTGTTGTCCTTTGGCGGGGGAAATGAAGGAAATGCACAAGCACATCCTTATATAGAATATACTGGTGCGAGGATGCAAGGTCAGTTTAGATTAGAGAAGTATGAAAATAGGACATGTAGAGATTGTCTCCAGGAGGCTCACTGGCTGGGTTTTTTTAGGCACACAACCCAAAAGCTCCTTTATAATAGAAACTAATCCCACTGTGAAGGCTTAACACCAACAATTGTGTTTTGTTTACAGAGCGGAGGATTTTGAGGACATCTGGCCTCAGTTTGGTCTGTTTGCTCTCACATCTGTGTGAAGCAGTGTGATGTCTGCCTGGTGTTAAATCAGTGCAGAAGACTACTTCTTGATTTGGCTCTTGTGTGTTCAAATTTAGTGCCAGTGTTCCTTGTTGGGCTAGTGGAGATATCGCTTAACTCTTTAGAATTAAAGGATCATATTTAGTTTGGGACTAGGCAGCTTTGTGTCTTTCAGGCTGTATAATTTCTGTGTCCTGTCTCTCCTCGGTGCCTGGCAGTGGCTGCGCTGTACTAAATGTCTCCACTGTGTTGGTGAGCGACAGCCGGCTGTCATTGTGCATGTTACAGTGAAGTAGCTGAGTCTTAAAGCTGCACTGGGTATCATGTTTAAAAATAAAAGTTATTGTATATAGTACATATTGGCACAGATTCACACTGACATCCATTTGGGTAATGGATATGTTACGTTTTTAAAAGTTGTGTCTCTGATGATGAGGCACATCCTTATTCAGACAGACCTTAATAAAATTACTTAATGGCCCTTGTAATGCAAGATTCAAATCTGTCTCCCCAGCTGCAGTGCGAGAGATCGTTCACTGTATGAAGCATCACACAGGGGCCTGGTCTGTGAACATGCTGTGTGCAGTTTACTGACACTGCCTTCCAGGATTTTGGAGTATTGTCAAACAGCTTCCTCTACCAGCCATCTGATTCATTCACCATGTGAAAATGCCTCGTGCAGCTTTAACTTGAATTTTGTTTTGGTTGTTTATCGTTATGGCAACTTCACCTTGCATAAGCTTCTCAGACATTGCCTGACCTGCACACAGAAACCTGTACACACCAACAGCCTTTAAACTCATGCATCCAGCTGCATGTTAGCTTGCTAAACAGGCTGGGGAATCTCTGAGGTTATTTGGAGACTGAGTTTGTTGTAATATCTGTAAACAGATATCTGAATATGAATGCAGATATCTGTAAATCGCCAGATTATTGTCAATGGGTTCTAAGATTGAGTTTGTTGTAACTGATCACTGTTACTTTTTTAATTTGCTGAACATGTTTAGCAGAGTCGCTTCCATAAAGAGTTAATTGAACATTGACTGCTACTGTTTGGCTGTTAAACAATAATCAGTTAGTCATAATGCCTGAGCTACAGCTTGGTATAAATGACATGGCAAGGGAAAGCCCTTCTCATTATATCAGGCTTTGAGTGTTCTCAGTGGCACATTTTCTTACATATTTTTGCTTGATCATTGCTTCTATGATTTCATACTAAACAATACAATACAATGCAATGCAATAACCTGATACCATCTGTTTTACAGGTTCATTGTTTTTGTTACGTACCAGATGTACTATGACTACCCACCTCCAACGTACCTGGAATATCCAATTCTCATTGCTCAAGGTGAGTTGTCTTTATTATATTATGCGAATAGTCAATTTAATAAACATCATATATACATTACATTATTAAGAAGTGCAATTTCTTATTTTGTAAGTAAAGGTCAATTTTCCTAATTTTCTGTAAATCTAATTTTGGAGCCGGTAGGTTTCTATTTCAAACACACTCGGTGTTAAATGCTTCACACTCCAATCCATAGTACCTGTCTTTTGAATGCATTCAAACAAGAGCTCAAACACAGTAACCTACCATGTTAAAGCAATGCAGAACATCAAATTGACAACTGTATGCCCATGGTTTAATATCGTACACAGGGGTTTGACAGAAAATCAACAGATCATCCACATGGTTGATGTGGGTAATAACTGCTATCACGTGAGAATGTTCCATGATCAATGCATGTAGTGTAGAAACATATGACTTGACATGGGTCTCCACTGAGGAGGGCATTAGGTCATCTATGACCTTTATTGATCTCCTTTTGTAAACAGCAGAAACCGTAATAACAGAACATCACTCTTCCTACTGCACTCGAGTCTCTAAAGGAGCCCAGATCCACCCAGAGAGGTCTGTTACTGACAGAAACAATTATGACATCTCATCAACAGAGGACGCTGATACCTTATGTGTCTCCAAAAGCACGATTGGCCTTTGTAAATCAGAAATATTAGTGTAGGGTGAGTTAATGAGGCCAGAGTTAAAACTTATATGATTCAGTGGTCCTTCAGATGGAAGTGAACTGCAGCCCCATTGATCATGTGCCCCACAGTTGTTTGTGTTATAACCTGCCCTGTGTCCTCAGATGTCATTCTTCTGCTCCTGATTCTTCATTACAACGGCAGCCTGCAGCAGAGCCTCGTCTACGCCTTGGTGTATCCTTTCATCACTTTCAAATAGCCCTGGATGTGAAAGTGTTCACTCAATGTTGAAGAGAATCAATGACCCATTGGCCTTTTGTTGATACCTTTGACAGTGTGCCACGTGTTATTGCCTTAACGTAATGTGTTTAGGTTCGTCGGAGGTTGGAGGCTCCTCACTGTGGAGAAGTGGATCATCGATTTGGCTATGGTAATAAATCAGTTTAACATCAATCATAAGTCACAGTGTGTCACAAAGAAAGTGAAGAGATGGCATGTCATCAGTCAAGAGTAATGAGCTGGAGATTTGAGCAGAAAGTTACCCAGACCTCATTTCACCTGGTGTATCTCAGGAAGATACACAGACCTTATAAATGCCAAGTGGTCTTGTTGGTTAATGAGATGAATGTGTCTGAAGGCAGTTTTTGTAATAATAATAAGTGAGAGCAGTGATCCTGCAACTGCTTTCCCTCTTAAAAGTTTTTTTTTTTTTTTTTAGGCAAGCTAGTCTTGCCTAAAAGTGTTGAACATTTCTCACTTTTTGAAATAAAGCTGAATTGTAGTTATACAGGTCATTATGTAATATGAACATGCAGAAACACTAGAGACCAAATCAGTATCTGTTCTGACCTCCACTCTCTTCTCAGAGCCTGTGCACATTCATCAGTGCAGCCAGTAAGTTCGCCCAGTTGCAGTGTCTATGGCGGTCTAAAGACGGTGGACAGGTTAGCGCCCTCTCCTGGGCTATGGCTACCTACACTTGCATGGGTGAGTATGATATACTGGACATGTAAACACCGTAGTCCGCTGTGTGGTGCACCTTTTTCCTTTCCCAATTTCTCTATATTCCCTTCCTGTCCAGACTGTTTGCAGCAAACTGCCACAATTAATCTATTAGTTAGTTATTTCAGGATGTAAAACCAAAACAATGAGCTGAAAGATGCTAAAAAGCTACTTAGACCAGGGAGTAGAGTAGACTCCTTTCACATGTACACATCCTCATTGGATCATTTGTTATTAAAAAAAAAACTTCAGGTTTCAGGGTTGAAGTTATAATCTGAGCTCTGTGGGGGTCTCTAAAAGTAGCAGTTTTAGAGCTCTGAGAAAACTTCACTGCTCATTATGGGGTCCAACACTTTGCAACAATTGTATCAAGTAGATTGCTACAACCCGAAACTGCCCTGCAATATTGAAATATGCCAATTTAGACCGTCACTGAAAGGGAGGATGTGATACTGTCCTTTTTGGGGTCATGAAAGTAAGTGTTATTACCTTAGGCACCTCTTTAGCGCTCCACTAGTAGGAGGATGAATCCGTTTTGTGAGTCATTAATCCAACAGAAAGCAAGCGGTCAATAAAGAGAGAAATAATACTCTTTATGTTGAAAAATGCATTATTTGTGATAAAAATTATGGTTGTTAATAATGTATCACTGCTTTTATGGGAGCTCAGACACCTTCTTATAGGAGCTTAGCTCCCACATAGATTATAGCAGCTTCAAATGTGACTATTTAATGCCATGGCATGGTAGGTTTGGAAAACTTGTGATCACTAAAATCCATATTGATAATAACAGCCATGCATGGACCCCACAATAAGTAGGACATTAATAGTATAATTGAGTGAAATCTTTGGAAAACGCCTCATTAGAATCAATTAGTTCAGGTTAATGAGTCTTAAAACTGATCTCCATTTTTCTCCAAGCTTCATGTTTAGTATTCCTAATAAATTCAGAAATGCTTAAAACATTTCTGAGACTTTCTTCCCCCAAAAGTACTGTTACTGTAATGTTTCAGTTCATAAATATGTATTTTCATGAACTGAGCTATTTACTCAGCTCCTATTTAATAAATTAACAACTCCACACTTCATTAATTAAATATTAGATGCTCTGTTGGATAATGAGGATGTCATTAACTTGGCTTCCTCTTTGTTGCAGCACGGATTTACACCACCACAGTGACAACTGGAGACACGCAGGGTAAGTCAGACTGAATTACAAATGACTATGTGTAATATCCCAGATAGGATTTTTTTTTACAATCTCTATATAAATCTTTTTAAAGAGTTCCTTCTAAAATGTTTATAACTACCATCATAGTTTTACATGAGTGAAGGATTTTTTGTAGTCTAGTGCTTTGCTATGAGGAAGCCTGCTGTGAGTCTATAATATCCAGTACTGATACCCATGTTCTCCTGAGGCAAATTTTGTTTTAAAACCTAATTTAATTCTTAGGAGATCTGTAGCTTTTGTATCTTTTCAAGGGAGAAAATGCAAAACATGCTATCATAGTTTCTTAGCTTAGATGGATTATAAGGCAACAGGCTCCTGGGCACAGACATCAAAATCCCCCCCACCCGTCTTACTGTACATAGGAGCCAGACACCCAGACTCAAAGAGACACAAAATGACATTTTTATGCTAATTTGTAGAGTTTTTGCATCTCATTGAAGTGTTTTTGGGTCTCCTTGTAGTTGTTTTGTCAACTTTTTAACAGGAAATGTTAACTGTCACTTATCTGGCCCCAGGGCCCACTGACCCATTGGGCACCTGGGTAGGCTTGTTTAATCCATCCAGGTTTCCAAAAGCAAAAATATTTCTATAAAACACGATAAACTACTCAGTTTTGTTATTCCTATCTTAAGAATCAAAGGGGGAGTGAATGAGGCTGCTGAAAGAGAAAAGGCATTCTGAGAATTGATAAAAAATAAATGTATGCATTTATTGATTGATTTCAACAGTTTACAGCCTCAGAATTGTGGCTTTCATGATGTATTAGTCTCGCTTTTAAATCTAATAAAATCCCTCCGTCACAGTGCTGGTGCGGTTCATCGTCATGACGTTGCTCAACATGTGGGTGCTGCTCACTGTGCTCTACTACCAGAAACACAGCGGCAGGTCCAAGAAAGAAGACTAAGTGTTTAAATTGGATCGTGGGGCAGACTGGCTGCACTGTAAACCAGCAGTTCTTCCTCATGTCTTCCAGCTCTGTCCACCAGAGAGATTACTGGGTTACTCTGGACACAGCAAGGACTGAAAAACAAAACTGACAGGTACAATGGTTACATAAGCAGCTTTTGTACTACTGACCTATAAAATGTGCTTTTATATTGTTACCTCAGTATTGAACCCACACATTTTTTTTAATAACATTCCAGTGACTAAAAATCTGCTACAACTTGTAGTGAGGACAGAGACCAATGCTTTTTCATACTGTATGTGAAAAAATGTAGTGTTATTAGATAGGACAGCACAAGCCAAGCATATCTGAGATCTTCCTACTCAGGAAAGAAATACTGTATTTTAAAAAGCTTTTCCAAGTGTAAAGTTCTTTTCTGAATTATTTTAATAAAGCAAACATTCTAGCTTCTTACACTGTGGTAATGTCAGTCTCATGCATTTAAAAACTCACCCATAAAAAGAGAAATGATGTTGTGCACCGTTTACAGAATTATAGCTTCCAAGATATTTCTTTTTAAGACAGAAAAATAATCCAAAACCAAAAGGCACATCCATGTCTTTATTGTTGAAGTAGTTATTATTATAGAGCTGTTTGGTAGCAAACATGCAATCTGGATGTAGAGCCCTTAAATACAAAGTGGACAAGGCTGTATAAATAATATAATGTGCACTGTATGGCATGTAAAATATATACTGTGTATATTTATATGTATAAAACATGCTTCTTGGTTAAAGGAGAGCACTCAGTACACGCACACACACACACACACGCACACAAACACACGCGCACACACACATAGTAACTCTCCACCTGCTATATAAGCCACATACACACACCAATGTGCCCAAACTCAGAGTTTGGTTACTTTTAATACAAAAATATCAGGACAAACACTTTTAGAAAAACGTTCAATGGAATAGTGCTGCTCAGTATTTTGACTTATGGGATATGATTGCATACCTTCATTGTTTCTGCTTCGTATTGGTCAATTCCCCTCATGTTCTACTGTCAGGAAATGACTAAAAACTACATTTCTAATAGGTGGAGGCCTGTGGGTGACAGCACTTAAGTGTGAGGCCTGAAAAGGCAAACACATGCAAGTTCACTCAGAGTAGTTGGTGATGAAAGGGGGCTTCAGTCAAGTATATTTGGATAGAAGTAATACAATGCCTGCGTGTCATCTCTGGTGAAGCCCAGATGTACATTCAAAAAAAAAAAAAAAACAAAGGAGCCGAGCTCGGATCAGAAAAGCATTTACGGTGCACCCCTTGAATTCAGTAAACATTAACCCTCATAATTGACAGTGCAGGTTTGAAAGATTATGGGATTGTGAGGATCTCATGTCTGGGCCTTCATCTAATGCCATTTAGAGCAGGATTCAGTTCACTTATAACCATTACTGTAGTCATACAAGACAAACCGGTGATTCAAAGCGTGCCTGAGTCAGAAATTTGAATAAGAGGCGCTCAAGGAATTATTCCCTCAAATCCTAGAGGAATCTGAGACTCCTTCCCCACCTTGTTGACTTTCCTAGAAGTCACAGTTCATTTGCTTAAGTACCTTATTCAAGTTTCTGTGACCCGTGTGGACGCGCACCTGAAAGCAGAATGGTGGGAAGCAAGAAGCTACAATCAATATGTTAAAAAGGTTTGAGTAAGCCAAAGTACAGATACTGTATCTGGGATTAAGTTCAACAACCTCAGCTGCATTCAGCCAACCAACTACAGAGTTTACCATCTTCTGAGCGTAGTGTTCCCCATTAAACCCTTCATATTGTTCATCATTAAACACAAGAATGTCTTTTTTATTTGGCCACAAGTGTCCCCAAAGGTGGTGAGGAAGAGTTGTCCTGTTAGGTCCTTCAATCAGACAGTGTGTCCTGGTGAGAAGTGTTGAGGTAAGTGTATCCCCTTCTTGCCAGCCCTAGTTGGGCTTTTAAGAGCTCTCTTCTGTTCTGTGGGAGCTGAACAAGCTACTCCAGCTCCCCAGAGACACATAATTGCTCTAGTCAAGGGCCCGAGAGAAGACTTCGGCTAATATGCTTACAAGCCATCCAGCTGGGTGAAAGGATCACACGGGTTGAGTTTGATAGTTGTTACCGCTTCAATTTGCTGGGAAAGAAGTTCAACAAAAAGGGAAATACAGACTTTGTAACTCTCACAGGCTGAAGCATGACAGGGTGGGTTGTGGAGAAGTGATGTGGAGTTCAGTGTGCTGATCTGCAAACGGAGCTTTGTATACAGTCTTTGATTTAGAAGGAAACACCCCAACGATGCACCACACTCCCAAGCAAGGTTAACTGGAAGAGAGGAGAAATGGATGCAAGATTAGTGTCAGAAAATAACGTTTAAATAATACTAACTGCACTCGTACTCACTTATTTCATCATTTTTCGGCCTTCAGACCTATACCAGGAACAGTTTATGAATTTCTTTGGTTTCTTCAGTCCAGATGTACACCCCTGGTCAGTAAGACTTTATGGTGTGCACAAACTTTATAATTATCCCACAGACCTCTTTTTTTTCATAAATACTAAATCAATTCTATGGATTGAGTCTATAGAGTCTGACAGAAGTTCTGTTTCTGGCTGTAATAAAAAGTTTTCCCCCATCATTTACCTTAGTACAAATAGAGCTATATACTGAAGGGGACATTTTACAGTTGAAAAATATTTTGCTGCGATTTACCAAAATCACAGATACATTTGGATCTGGTGTTAAAGGGAAAATTATATATTATACCATTTTATATTACGTTAAGTCATTTTATTGCAAATAACAATTTAAAAAATACAGAGGAGATATTTTCACTTGCACAACAGTGCATCATGATATAATCAGATATTTGCCTAACCTTCAGCCCCTAAATAAATGATGAAACAACATACACACATTCACCCACAAGACAATGTATCTGCTTTCATTTACAGCACCCAGTGGCAAGGTGATCCAAGCTATCAGGTGGGCAGCCAAATGTTTCCCACAGATTTAAGTAACCCCAACAAGCACATGCACTGGGACCAACATATGTGGACAAAGCCCACCACCAAACCCACCACAAACTGACAACCAGGAGTGTGTCTGAACATTCAGTGCAAAAAGACACTTTTCGGTTGTAATCAAACATACACACATTCAGGAATTGAGTGGTTTACAGGGAAACGTCTGGGCAAAGGGGGGAGAAGTCATCAATTGTACCAGTATCCACTGTGGGATTCTTCTCGCCTTATTTGGAAGCCATTTGATCTGCGAGGGCGTGAGGTCAGAGGGCATAAGGTCACGATGGGTAAGACATAATGAGATGATGTGACTAGAAAACAGCACCTTTAGTCTCGGCAGCAGCTTTAGAAATATTGATGTTTGGTTGGCTACCACTTCAAAAACATCATGGAGTTTTTCAAGGTAGCAGAGAATAAGCAGCAGTGTCTTGAAACACTGAACTTCCTTTCATCAATATTAAATTTGTGTTTTCTTCTCTTTTTGAAATCACAGCAAATTGGGACTGTAGATGTATAAACTGATGCCTTGTGGAAACAGTGCTCCACTGCCACTGAAATCACTGCACAGCACAGCACACACCGCACACACTGTTACCATATGCAGTCATCAGAAATGAATAGAGGAACAATCATCATCGATATCATCCAATGCCCAGTGCCAGTCCTGAAGACCAAAGTCCTCAAATCTGAAAGGGGAGATTAGTTTTGATGGCCAGGTAACACTTACACATACAATCTGATAACCAAGAATAGAGTCTTGTCAAATGTAGGATTGGCTACTGTTCTCATGTTAAAGAGAAAGGTGTTATATAAGGGCCAGACGGACTAGAGGGGGAAACTAAAAACAGCATCTTATCTTCTGCAGGCTAATCATGTATACAGAGAACAAAGCTCCACGGCTGCTCTACTCACTGTCTCACACTTCAAAAACACTTCTCACCGACGCTACAGTGAATTCTGGATACAAGGACATCTTTTATTCTCCTCTAAAAGAACTGATCCCCTGCATATACACAGCAGTCTTTGGGGTTTCACACACAGAATATAGAAATATCAACATTGCTTTTGTTAGATTTGGTAACTCTGGATGCACTATAGATGAGACTGATATCATCAGCATTATTGGACTGAACTAGCAAGGAGCTAACAGTGGCCAATTCTCAACAGATTTAAATTTGACACCAAAAGATTCAGAACATTCAATTACAATAACAATTACTAATATTTCAAATTCTAACTTGTTTTTGAAACAGCAGCCACACGGTGGGACACAGCTATCCACTACCGAGACCCCAAAAGGGTCACGGTGAAATTCTATTGTGAAACTACAATTGTGTTCCGTGACAATAACTTTCATGTTCTTTCACAATAACTTTTGTGTTACCTTGCAGTATTTTTTGTATTCCTCCTGATCCATAGAAACAGTGTGTTAGTCTAGTCTAAGGAACCCAAAAGAACCATGATCTTTCAAAAATGCATACAGTAAGTAATGTTAGCTTGAGCCCATATACTTCCAACTCTAGCCTGTATGCAGATGGTCCATTTTAAAATGTTACTGTCTCAATAATATGTATTAAAACCCTCAACCTAATCTTGGCAGCACTGGAGACCTCCTGAATAACCAAATACTTCATACAACATGAAAATCAACAAATCAAATGAGTCTTAAATAGTGAAAACTGTTTTAAAAGCTTTTCCAAAAAGCATTAACTGTGCAGACATGATCTCCTGTCTGCTTTGCTACCTGCTCTTGCTTGTGGGGAGCTGTCGACTGGGCCTCCTCAAGGACTGGCTTGGCTGGACCTTCATGGAGGCGCGTGGCGAGGAGCGTGCAAAGTGCTCTGGTGGTGGAGGCTTCTTGGGAATCTTCTTGACCAGTCGGCTCACCCACTTCTGCTGCTCCTCCTGGGATATGGCCAGTAGCAGCAGGTTCTTGGCCGTAGACACGTCGTAGTTCACTGGTGGTGGGAGAGAGAGTTATAATCTTCAGTTATCTTTATTGGCAACACTGGTATGACTGAAAACTCTCTTTCTCAGATCCTAAAGCTGCACCAATAAACCTGTTCGTTCACAGATTCTTCAGTCCCTATGTGAATGCATCCTACCTTTGCATGGAACGATGATCTCCTCCTTCTTGTCCATGTGGTCCTTGTGGCACTTGATGTGGCAGCGTCGGCACTCCAGAGCAGGCGGCGGCTTGAACATGTTCCACAGCGGCTTGGTGCACGCCTCACAGTTGGTGGGGAAGTGGTAGAGAGTGGGGATGAACTCGTGGCCCTTGTGGCAGATGTAGCTGGATTTCTCTCCAATGGCCAGCGGCTCCACAGGAAACTCTGGCTCCTTCTTGCTCTCGCCTTCATTGGCATAAAGGATCTGGAAATATAGATTGATATAGAATGAGGATTAGAGAATATTGGTCTATATGTGTGCTTTTGTGACAATCAACAAACATCAAATACTGATCATCCAGAACTTAAGGCGTCACAGTACAATTTAAGATTTCAACAATAAAAACCCTGAAGCGGTGCCAAGACGGACCTGGAATATCCTGGGAATCTCTTTGGCATCAGCACGGTAAACATCTGTTTGAGTGACAGGCCTCACATGGAAGAGTTTGCTGTGTGAAGAAAATAAGTTAACGGCTCCATTACACTACGTCAGCTGCATCTCAATTCAAAAAATATTGCTGCGACAGGACACAGTGAACTCGTAAACCAACACGAGTCCTGGCTCGTCTTCTCGGCAGACTAGATTAGCGGTCATACTCACTCTATATCGAGGACCATGTAAGGAATGGACTGCTCTTTGTCTTGCTCGTTGTTGTAGAAGAGAATCTTCTTGCTGCTCACTACAACATACTAAAGCAACAGAACAGACATAAACAGAGGTAAGGTTTATGTCGATTAAGGAGAGGCTGTGATACATCATTAAAGCAGCTTTGTTCTCTGTACCTTTTTCTCCCATCCAAACTTCTTGGTGTTGTTTCTAACAGGGAGAGAAAGCCATCCTTCCAATCTCGTTTCTGAGTGGGAGGAAGAGACAGCAAACAATACAGTATGTCAGTAGAATAATAACCAGTGTTAAAATCAAAATACATTTTCAAACCAACTCAAATAGAAGGTAACAACCTTCATTATCCAATTTTCTTGAATAAAAAGTTACTTGAGTTTTAAGCCACAGGAGTGAAGCCAATATTGATTCACCTGTCTGCATTTTTAAAAACACCAGCTCTGATACAAGGTCTAATTCTCTTTTACAACTGTATTAACTCAATGAAGTAGTATTTTCTTCCAAAATGGTTGAATGTAATGTACAGCAGCAGCAGACATACCTTATTTCAGCCACAAATATTTAAAAAAACTTTCACAATTACTAGTATTAATATTACAATTTCCTTCAAAAGCCAAATCCTGTAAATAAGCACTATTTTTGGAATGCCAACTATACTTTGTTGTTTGAAAGTATGAAAATGAAAATGAAGTTGGGTGAGAGTTACATATACATCTTTCAGGAAGGTTGAGCTCTTACCTGTGTATGCATCATCAGCATCAAACTCTGGCCCACTGCTGACGCTGGCAGAGTCCATTGATTGAACGCTGAGCGACTGCAGGAGGTTCCTCAGCTGCTCGATGTCGCTGTCCTTACTGTCCAGAGCCATCTGCAGCTCAATACGCATCTGGCTCTCTTCCGACAGTTGCTGCAAATAAAAAACAACCCAAAAACAAGGTCCAGTCAAAGATAATAAAGGAGGTGAACAGATGCTGCTGCACGTGCCCGTCCAGCCTAAAGACAATGTTGTTACTTGACGGGAACTGGTCTTTTCTTTTGTACAGCTGCCTAAAATGGACATTATTAATGAGGAATGATTATACATGGCATGAAACTGTGTGTGACTGTTCTACTAACCGCCTGCATTTCATTGATCTCTCTCTGGTATTTGATGATGGAGCTGTTGAGTTTTTCCTTCTCCGACCTCAGCTCCAACTGCAGCTTCCTGTTCTCCTTCTCCTTCCGCCGCATGTCTGTGTCGTTACCACGGCGACTGCCTCCGCCACGAACCTCCTTTCTGTTCATGATCTCTGCAAGCTTATTGACGGCCTGTAGATGGAAGTTCCAAAGTGCAGGTTTTAGTCTGTTTTACAGAGATATTCAGAAGGTCTTCTCCGACTTTTAGCTCTTAGTTTTGAACCAAAACCTTTCAAGTTGCTGTATAAGTGTATTTAAGTGACTAAAAATGGAGCACATAGATGGTACAGCTTTGGCTTACCTGGGTTTTCAGCGTCCTCTCTGACTGCAGCTGCTTCTCAAATGTCTGCTTCATGTGGCTGATCTGGTTCTCCCAATCCTTTGACTTTTCTGATTCTGAAAAAATATAAATGTCAACCCAGAAAATATTTTTTTATTCATAATAAAAGTTATTATGTTATTATCCAAGTTAAATCTACATCATCTATCAACATTGTAATTACCTTCTAATGCCTCCTTTAGTTTGTTGTTCAGCTCCTCCTTCTCATTAGCTAGGTTGGCAACATCACTGGTCAGGGTCCTATTGGCTTCCTCCAGCTGCATGGGGCAAAAAAAACTCACGTTCACTATGTAACGGGTAATTGAGCACTGTATAAGCTGTCTGCCACTGCCACCTGTTGTCCAACAGCTGTAAAGTCTGTTTTCATTGTGTCTCTATACAGTCTGAGAGTGCACTGCTTTCACTTAGTTGTTGTGTAATATAATGTATAGAATGAGGAAAGCTATCCTCTTTATCTTTTCTGTTGTTCTGTTGTTCTGTTTCTGCTGTTTCACTCACACCAGAAAAAGGTTGCCAGCAATACAAAACCATTTTACATCATCTGGATTTAACTGAAGGCAGGAGAAAGTTGATGCCACTCACCGAACTGATGGTGATGTCCTTCTCAGCTAGCTCCTGACGATGGCGGGCCATCATCTCCTTCAGTTCCAGCTCTTTCATTATCTTCTCCTTCTCCAGATCTGAGTACTGCTCCTCAGCGATGGAGCGCGCCAGCTGCTCTGAGTCAGCCTTTGTCAATGTGATCTCAAGCTGAGCTGCCAATGAGTCCCTGAAAGAAATTGTAAAAAAACTAATGAAAGGCTGAACAACTATTAATTATAAACCCAGAATATAAATCCAGAGCTATAGATTAATTCACTGCTTCATTATTTTGTCTTGGTTTAGGTTTTTTTTTTATAACCGCTTTTGAATTTTCACTGATGTTTAAAGTATTAAATCATATTTTTCCAACAGCCAGCCCACCTCTCCTCTTGTAGTTCCTGCAGAGACTGCTGCGCATCTTTGTAGAGTTTGTTCCTCTCCTCACACTCCTCCTTTAGTTCCCGAACCTGGGTCTTATACAGCGTCTGAAAACACAACAAACAGGTCAAACACACCTCGCACACAGGTAATATATTAAAACACACTTTGATGCTACTCCATGCATCTCATGAATTCAGCAGCCTACTACTGTACATTTCCTCAATCATGAAAACAAAAACTCCTGAGTAATTATCCACATACACTGTGTACAGATTAGCCAATAAAATAAAAACTATGATAAAGGGAAATAGGTTTTATTGAGCATTACATTATTCCATTTACACTGATCATGTAATGTCTGCTTCTAGAGATACATAAAAATTAACTAATAGGTGTCCACTCAACAGTGAACATTGATTCCTTTCTCAGCTATTCAACAGACAGCATGCATTAGCTGCAGAAATAAAAGGAATGTTCTGGTGGCATATAACAACCCACACACTTAGCAACCAAGATGTTGAACCGTAATGTGCTGCGCTTAGTCATTTTGCATCCACATTAGTAATTACAGAGCAGAATAAAAACTCACGGAGAAATACTGTTCAGCTTCTAACTGGTCCTGTAATTCCTTCATTTGCCCGTCTGTGTCCTGTCTTTCTCTGTAGTCGAAAATAAAAATAAAATTCTGTTACTCGTCATTTTATGTCAAAATATGAAGCCTTGAGTATGAATGCCAGAAAAGGGTTCAACAAAATATAAACTGACTTGCGCAACTCTTGGTTCTGTTTCTCCAGGCTGCGTTTAATGTCCAGTAGGTGATTAGTTTCCTGCTTGAGTTGCTTTTCGGAGGTTCGCAGAGAGCTGAGCTGCTGGTTCTGGGCCTTCAGGTCGTTCTGGGTGAGGTTACGCTTCTGGGTCTCCTGCTCGATCTTCAGCGTCAGGTTCTTCACCTGAAAGAACGAACAAAACACAGAGGGACAGAGAAGTGAGGAGAGGCTGTGTTGAATGTTGAATTTGCTTTTGTTATTGTTTTGTCTGTACTTCCGGTTCTTGTAAATCGCCACTGAATAACAGTCATCGCTCTACAGCTCAGAACTGACACATTGTTACACAGGCTACAACATTTGTTTCTGTAGGTGGCATTTAATATCTAAACACACACTCTTTTCCCCTAGACAGAATATAAACACTCACCTCCTCAGTTAGTCGGTCCTTGTGTCTGCGCAGCTCGTCTAGTTTCTGCAGAGCCTGTTTATAGTCACAGTCCATCATGCTGCTGTGTTTCTCCAGCTCCAGTATTCGGTTCTCTAACCGAAGTTTGGCTGCTCGCTCCTCCGCCAGCTTCTGCTCCATCTCTGCATGGGTTTTTTTTTTTATTATATCAATACATTTTCCACATGGTGAAGTTATGTTAATCAATAGTAAAGAGTAAAAAGTATGTAAAGCTGTAACAAGAAATCCACATTGTGTACGACTCGTAATTCAAATCTTCCCCCTCACAACATCTGTTATGTAATGGTACAAACTAGGACAGTTGAAGTAAACAAGAAAAGAATGGGTCTGTGCCCTTACCCTTCATGGACTCTGACTTGGCGCCCTCGATGGTTACTTTGATCTTGCTCTTGTCAGCCAGCAGTGCTCTGGTGGCCTTATGAGAGGCCTCCTCCTGCTCCAGCTCCTGCTGCAGAACCTTCAGCTTGTAGGTCAAATCAATCTCCTTGTTGCTCATCTCCTGCACAAAAGAAAACAAACCCAATGAAACCCCGAGAGCAAAACTCAACACACAACACATCCAATGACATAGTAATGCCAATAACGAAACACTGCACTCAAACAAACACAATCTGAAATCATTATCAAAGAATTGAAGCACTGAATGATTACAGTGTATCACTAACCAACCAGTCCTTAAAACTTAACAGCTTCAGGATCAATATGCCTTTTGATTTATTCAGTAAACCAAACAGACATCACCAGCTGGTCTAGTCAAGTACTCGGATGATTACAAGAAGGTGGCCATTAAGTTAAATGCAATCAGCACCTTGTTTGGAATTGTCAGTTGTACAATAATGTCTTAAGAACCAGGCCTTAAATCTATTATAGTGGCAGCCTCTTAAAACAGTTTGTAGATTATTTATCGGTCCTCTCTGTTGTGATGGTCCCACTGCAGCAATTTGCGTTATAAGGTAAACACTAGATAGCGTGCTTTAATTAATGATGTCACTGTTTTATACTGCTACCACATTACCAAAGACAAAGTACAGGGGAAGAATGGTTGTGTTTATTTCATCTTTGCAGTTCAAGAAGTCTAAATTAACCTTCCTGTAAAAGGCTAATACATTTGTTTGATAAGTAAGAATATGTAGTCTATAAAATTAGTTATCACATTATGTCTCAATTTTCTGGGTTACCTTCTCCAGATCAGTGTGTTTTTCCTGAAGCTGTCTCTTCTCAGTCTCCGTTTTGGACAGAGCCTGTTTCTGCTGACGTGCCTCCTCCTCCAGGCTGGAGATACGTCCTGCAAGACAAAGCCAAGAGAGTCCTCAGAGAAGCATGTAGCAAAAAGAAAAAAGAAAATGCCTCCAAAACATGCATAAAACATAGAACAAACTAAACCCTTAATTGTCAACAGTCAATCCCAGCTACAAGTTCATGAGTTTCTGGTTTCTGGTTTCTCATCAATCTCCTTATTGCATGAATACACAGATCCAGCAAGACTGGTGAGTGTGTTTTTTCAGTAATCCCATGTGAGGTTGTTTACACACACACACACACACACACACACACACACACAATACCGACAATATTCAAAGAAATCAGCTTAAGGCAATACTTTGATTGTGAATATTTACATGGGTCAAATGAATGCTATTTCTCCAATATTCTGGTTCATTGGAGAAAGCAGATTCAATTACATCGGTAGCTACCTTGTTTGCTTTGTAAATGCAACATCTGCTCACTGTATCTGATGACCTACAACTGCAGTTTGACGAAAGCCAAAAACAAAGTTAACTGAGGCGCTGACTGAGCAGAAATCTGGGTGTGTTACCTGAGCTGTGTGACCTCACTTCAATTAACACAATCAGATAAAAGCTTTTACACGACAGTTTAAATAGCCCGAGTACTGCCCTTAATCAGATTAAGGTTGAATTATCAGCCTTGATAATAACATACTCCCTCGTACAGTCACACAAAGGCATGCTGGGCGCTGACTCGTACAACCGGAGTCTGCTGCTACTGCACACTGACCTGCTGCAACAGAGCAAGGGATTGTCTACAGGAGAGAGAGCATTTCATTTTTTACTCTCTATACTCATATTTGTTCAACCGGAGATAAGTCTTCTATGTCTGAATATCAGATGTGTTTGTTATTGTTTGTATTGCAGCCGTTGTGGCTCTGTAAAGCACCCCCCAGACAAACCTGTTTTCACAAAAGCTCTTGCAAATAAATTCAAATCACTCACAGATAGTGAACGAGTTGTTTGCTGAATGGATTCTGCAGTGCAAACTTCTTATTAAGCCTCTTTGGTGCCCTCTATATTTGTGTGGCAGTGCTCTTGCCTACGTAGCTGCCCTGGTAAATCTGCCATGTAAGCCGCTGAGCAGACAGAAGTGGCTGAGATTTTTTTCATCCAAGGACTCTTATAGAATAGAATTTCCATCTCATAAAAATACAACCAACTAAACTAGCAAATCCTTACAACAGGGTTTCAAACAATACATTAATTACACTCACTACAATCACGCAGATATCATATTTAATCCTATTGTGTGTGTGTGTGTGTGTGTGTGTGTGGTGTGTGTGTGTGTGTGTCACCCACCCATCAGGTCGCTGATGGTCTCTGAGCCCTGGCTGTGCTCCCTCCTCTCTGTCTCCAGCGCGGCCTGCAGGCTGATGCATTCCTTCTCCAGGCTCAGCTTGCTGCGTTCCAGCATGCAGCACTTGTCCTGCAGCTCGCGTACGTTGGCCTCCAGCTGCTGCAGCTGCTTGCTGGACTCCGTCTGGGTTTTACGGAGCCTCGTCGCCGCCTCAGACTCGGCCCGCAGCAACGTATTGGCTTCTTCCAGCTGATGGGGACAGCAGCGAAAGAGAAATGCTTGCGGATCAGTCAGTAGTCTTGTTTGGTTGCTCATCACTTTCCTATTTGTTAACAGTTACAGTTTGTCCCAAGTCCTGTTACATACAACCTTTCTATTCAAAGTATTATGTTATTCTGGGAAAAACCGAAACAAGCTTAATCCAGTTTATGATACAAATTTAGTACTAGTACCTGTTGACGCCTTTGACATATTTCTCAAAAATGCTAATATACATATCAAGGCTTTTATTCCATTATATTGCTGATTTTAAGGAATATAGTGTACTGCAACATTATAGTTGTAATCCCATAACTCTAAGAAAAATACATACATGTGTAAATAACCACTAAGTGTCAGTGTTTGTTAAGAAATTGGATCACAGTAGCTAATTCAATCGCTTATAATAGTCATTAATTTGAATTCCTTGTCAACAATCTTTTTTTTTTTCAACAGAAGGGGACTTTTTAGACATTAAACTTCAGTGGCCACCGACCTGTTTCTGCAGGTGAATGTTCTTCTCATTGGAAATGTGGGAATTCTGGTTTCTTTTCTTCATGTCATCGAGTTGGTCTCGAAGGCCGTTGACTGCACATCACAGAAGAACACAGAGCAATATATTATGGTGAACTATCTATTCTCTCTCTCTCTCTCTATATTTATATATTTATATTATGTATGCTGTATTACAACAATACTCAAGCATTAATCCTCTATTATAAAGTTGTAATCAATGATCAATGAGGAGTTTGACTATCACAGAACAGAGCTTCATCAAAGCATTGCAAGTATTATTATGAAAATTATCCAATATCCAGAAAGCCTGGGTAGGCCTGCACACTGTGTTCCCCTGGTAAACATGTTACCACCCTGTTTATTTGACCAGGTGATGGCAGTATCTTCCACATTATGTCTGTCTGTAAACATCAACCAAAACTCAAATTAAAATCCAAACGAGTAAATTCATACAGGAAGCTGTCAAATAGAAGGTCAAATTTCAAATGTTAACTGTATTAAAAAAAAACTCTGATCCTCCCCATCAAACAGTGTGTCGCTGTATGTGTTGAAGTGATAGCTTGTGAAAAATGTGTTATCAAAACACGTCTTCCATCTTCATCAATGTCTCACTCTGCATTTAAAAGGAAGAGTTTATCATCATTATGGTGGTTGGATTATGGCCCTTTAACGTCTTATGCAACAAAGCAAATGTAAGGACTCCCATTAGGATATATATAGAATCTACAATTTGTGTGCGTCTCATGTCACCTTCGTTCTCCAGGCAGTCGCTTCCTGTCGGCCTCGCTCTCGGCCTTGCGGTGGCTCTCCAGGCTCTTGTGCTGCAGCAGGGCTTTCTCTCTCTCTAGCTGCCTCAGACTCGACTCCAGATTCTTTCTGCTACTCACCTAAAATCAATCATTACACACTTTGTTCAACATGTCCTATAGGGCTGGTTTCACAGTGCTGTGATTCCATAACTCGCTTTATAAGAAGTGGTTCCTCAGAATCCAATCTGGGCTTAACACAAAATCCAATCCCCGTAGACATTTTAATGTGGCTATTTGAATTCGGCGAGCGATCCAGCTGAACCTCACTGGATATGACACTATGATCAGCATTCAACCGAAACATGGTCAGTGAGAAATCATTATTCTGACTTAAACACAGTTTTTGGGAAACGCAATAAAAATGTGTGAAAAAGAGGGAGCTTATACGATCCCTGAGGTGAAACTGGGTCATTGCACCAGCAAATATTAAAAGTAAGACAGAGCCAGTATGCAAGTGATCTCCAACACCAACAGGTGTCTGTGCTGTACATTTAGTAGTTCACTGTGGTTTCAGAGTGATTATCTTACCTCTTCCTCAAGTTCTTTGTTGATTTTGTCTAGACGGCTAGTGGTAGCTCTGCAGATAGAAAACAGAACAGTATGTACAAGAGCTTTGACAGTGATGGTCACTGTGGTCAAGTGTGCAAGTGGTGCAACATGAAGAAAAGCTACGATTGTTAAAGTCCCCCTCTATTCAAATGTGTGTTTCTTCTTGTTCCTACAGTGTGCTGTTTAAATGCTCTATGTGCAGAGTTTGACTCTAGAAGGATGTTTTCATATTCATCTGCTGAAAGTGGAAAGTTTCTCTGAGCTCATTGAAAATCAGATGTTTAAGGGGCGGGGCCTATGACCATAATTTGTGACATCACAAATAGTTTGGAAGTCAGTCTTGGTCCAGTATGCAACTTGTACAGTGACGCCAGCAGTGCACATCCACTGAGA